AAAAAAAACACACACACATAAAAAACAAAACAAAACAAAACAAAAAACCCCGAAAAGACGAATTCACAGGTGGCCGTTCGTAAAAGTCAGTCAGTCCAACTTGATCCCGGGTCATCGCGAAGGCCGTTGAGGTTGCAGCAGAAACATCTTCTAACAGTTATGATATCAAAAATAGGACCGACGTCTTTCCTGTCAGATGCTCTGAGACAGGAAGTCAGAAACCACCTCAAGCAGAAACTTTGCCAGCTGCGGTAAGTTTTTAATCAGCAGGGTTGAAGTCAGGTTGTGCCCGGGTTAACGGATCATCGAAAAGCTTGAGGTGGATCCAGACAAATGATGAGTCTGTGAAACAGAAACACAGGAGGCCATTAGCTCAGGGTTTGTGAAGTTAAACGCAATGATTTTTAAGATCAAAGCATGTCAAAGTTATTATTTTCATATACAAGTCAGAGTCATGTTTGGATTATTTAACAGTTTTTTATGCTTTTCTCTGCCATATGTAACGGTAAACTAAAGTTTCCCTGGTGTCTGGACTGCTGCTCAGACAAAATGTACAACTAAAAGTCATCGACAGCAAACGTCTCCTTACTAACAATCCTTGTGATGCTTTAAATCCACTAAGGATATGGCATAAAGTATTCCATGTCCGAGGTGCATAAAGAAAATGTTTTTCTCTTAAACTTAAAAACTCTGTGCACAATAAAAAAAACAAAAAAAAAAACAAGAAAAAACAAAAAACTGTTTGGATTACTGTCCAATGAATTTCTTCCAGTGTACTGCAGCCTGCTGGACCCAAAATGGCTGCCCTCATACTGGATTATTTTTGTTTAAACATAATTAAATTTGCTCATGTAGCTTATTAACCTACTTTCTTAAACTAATTTGAATGCTGGAGTGCAACAGTATTTACTGTTCTCAGGTATATTTCTTCTTTATTTGTAATACACGCAGGGTTACATCCTCCTGCAGGTCAATGCCCAAACAGAACGATGTTTAAGGAACGCTACGGTTTATGTGATAAAATCAAGTTGTGGATAAAACTGATACTCACATGGCGGTATTTTGAGTAGAAATACTTTTGTGTGGAATGTTTACTGTGTACACGGTAATGCCCGATGGGTTGTTTTTAAATTACTGAGTTTTGCGGTTTAAGGAAAGGAAATTCGTAAAGCTTGCAAATGATGCTTAAAGGTTACAGTGAAGTTACAGTACTGAGAAGTATTTGCCCCTGCTCTCTCTTTTGTTTCTTTTTTCCACATTTACGTGTTTCAGATCATCAAACAAATGTTAATATTAGAAAAAGATAACCCAAGTAAAATACAAAAAGCAGCTTTTAATGATTTCATATATTATGGAAAACTAACCCAAACTACCTGACCCCATGTGAAAACGTAATTGTCCTCTAATCATAAGAGCTAGTCACAGCAAGAACTGCAATCAAGTGTTTGCCATAACTGGCATTGAGTCTTTCATATTCCCTTTGGAGGAATTCTGGCCCACTCTTCTTTACAGAACTGTTTTAATTCACTAATACTTTTTGAGGGTTTCAAGTATAAATAGTCTAAGGTCATACCAAAGCATCTCAATTTGATTTAAGCCCATTCAGAGGTGGACTTATCTCATTGTGCTGCTGCATAACCAGGGATGGGAATTGATAAGAATTTAGTGATTCAGATTCCATTATCCATATCATTTACTGATTGATTCCTTATCGATTCAATCCTTACTGATAGTGCTGTGTGGTTAAATGTTTGTGCATGTTGGAGGCTTTTCCTGCATGCAGAACACTTTCCCTAAAAAGGTAATGAGGAAGTAATTTGACAAATTACTTTCGCGTTTCTCAGTAAAATGACCTTAAACATACCATCTCATAATTACCATTTAACAACATAAACCTCAGGCTACAGTCCCACGCATCAGCACAAATCTCTATCCTAATGAATGGACAATAAGCGGGCTTAATTGGCAGGCAAGAAACTGAAATACTGGGAAAAGGTTCTCAATTCCCATCCCAATTTAAAACCCAAATGATTTTGAGCTTCAAAGCATGATCTGATGGCAGATATTCTTCAGGTTTTTTTGTTTCTGTTTTTGTAGCGAGCAGAATTCATAGTTCCATCAATTACATCAAGTCATCCAAGTCCTGAAGCAGCAAAGCAGCCGCAAAGCATCACATTACCACCACCATGTTTGGCTGTTGATACAATGTTCTTTTTATGAAATGCTGTGTTAGTTCTCCACCTAATGTAACCGAAATATTTTAAGCTCACATTTGTTTTTAGCCAAACACAAATCAAGCCTTTGGGTTTGTTTTGTTCATCGGTGGCTTTTGTCTCTTTCTTATTTCTGAATCATGAACTCTGACATTTATTGCAGGAAGTGAGGCCTAAAGCTCTTTAGATGTTCTTTTGTGACCTCTTGGATGAGTTGTTGATGCACTCTTGGGAGCAATTTTGGTAGGTCTGCTGCTGGTAATGTGCACTGCAGTTCTCTATATTTATGGATTATGACTCTCAAAATGATTCAGTGGAGTTCCAAAGCCTTAGAAATCGCTTTTTAACTCTTTCCATACTAAGAGATGTCAATGTGTCTAATCAGTTTGAGTTTCTTTAACTCACAGCACGATGTGTTGCTTTTTGACTTAATTTAGCCTACTTCACTTTGTTAGACATGTTCTCGTTAAGTGATTTCCTGATTCAACATGTCTGGTAGGGTGTACTAGTGAAACTGAACTTATCCCCTGTGAATTAATCACAGTTAATTCGTGATTTTGGATAGATCTTTTCCCATAATAAAAAAACTCCATTTTGTTTTTACTTGGGTTATCTAATATTACATTTTTTTTGATCTGGCAATTTCTAAACTTTGCTGCAGAATGACAACAGCAGGCACTCTCTTTCTACAGTAGTAACAATATCTGCAGCATTCTCAAGAGAGGCGCATCATTTATTTTACTACATTTATTTATGCCCCAAAACGCATTTATGATACCGTTGTGCATTTAGCTAGCAGTATATAATAAATACGTAATAAATTAAAATGTCTGATCTGTTGGCTCACTGGGATTTTTTTTAAAACACTGAGCTGGGGATCCACTGATCTAATAACTGGATCATATCATTCCAGTCTTAACTCAAAAACCTGGAATGCACTTCTGTGTCTGCTGTCTACAGAAGCATCTATTAAACTCAGCTGTATGTTTTGTTCTGTGTTTACTTCTAGCGTGAAAATGTGAAGTACTTCAAAAAACGGAATCTGCTGTGTTGATGGACTCAAATAAAATCCAAAGGGTTTAAGGATTACTTATTATTGATTATCTGACACATTTTGGATCCTGAACTTCACAGATGTCATCATTAGTTAAAAACAACTTAAAAGTCCAAATTAAAGGTACTGATGGAGAATCAACCTCATATATCACCATAAGATGACGATGAATTAACAGAGTAATGATTAAAGGTTTAGCACTCAGAATTTTTAAAGCAGCCATCTTGATTTTCTTATTTTAATTTGAGACTAAATGACCTGCGAGAATCCTACAGCTGCATAAGATTTAAAAGGCTGGTGGGTTTTAAACCGCGGTTGCATCTCTCACAGAATCGAAACTGAACTTCCTGTTTTGGAACAAATTCTTTTTCAGGATGTCACATTTTCCTCTTTCTGCGACTCGCCTCATAGGACCATCTGCTTCATTGCCCCCTGCTCTTCCTCCCAGCCCTGAGCATTCAGACAGTTGCATTCTTCATGCTGCATACTTTCTGCGATCTTATGATAACAAGATAAACCAAACAGTTTGCCCAGAGCAGCACCACCCACTCTTCTTTCTCACTTCCAGCCGAATCTCTCTCTCCCTCACACTGCACTCAAAACACCACACAGTCTTGTGAACCGTCTCTACAGGGACATTTTATCACATTTCGTAAAAATAGTAAGGGGCCAACTGTGCTGTGTGTCCAGAGCATGGGTACAGCCCTGCAAGATGATGTCCCTACCTTTTCCTCACTGTACCACGCAGGCTGTGCAGCACTGTTCCTGCTTCTCTGGCAGCGAGGAGTAATTCATCTGCCGGACAATCTCTGCAAACAGCTCATCCACCATCGTCTTGCTCTTGGCAGAGGTTTCGATAAAGGGGCAGCCCCACTCTTGAGCCAAAGCCCGTCCATCTGATCCAGCCACCTCACGCTCAGACTCCAGGTCGACTTTGTTACCAACCAAAATCAGCGGCACCTTCTCAAAGCGCTTCACTCGCACTATTTGGTCTCGCATTGGTCTGATGTCCTTAAAAATTGAGAAAAATAAGAAGTGTGAGATATTGAAATTTAAACAACAAAAAAAAAAAGAATCATCAACCAGATACGAACTTTGGTTATTTCTCAATAGGCACAATTTCTTCATGATGTAAACATTTAATTACGATTTTTCTGGCTTAAAACTGGTCACATTGTTGAGGTAAAGCTTTGTTTTACCCAGCAGACATTCGTGAATTTTCATGAAAGTTTTGGAAATATGCAAATATCTATTTTAAGGTTGCTAAACATTTCCTTTCGGGAAGGCCAGAACTTCTTTTCACATCTAGTTAAAGCACTGTTACTTTTATTTATTGGTACTTCACAAGTAATTATCCATTAAATACCGAGTGCTAATATTGAAGGCTCTAAAATATCAGGACCTGGGATGACTATTTTCTTTAGTAGACCTGGTTCATAGTTATCTAAGCTTTCTTATGCACTGTTTGTTTTCTGTGTGGTGCCATCCTTCAACAAATTAGTGCTATATGGAGATATTGGGGATCCAAATGAGCCCTAGCCTTCCCATTTTAATCTCGATAATGTGGCTTGTAGCATTCCCTGCATGAGAAGTATGAATCACAGCCTGATTAACCACATACGATTGCAGATTTCAGGTGTGTGTGGTGCATCTGGGGTACCTGGAAAGACTGCTGGTTGACCAGGCTGTAGACCAGGATGAAGCCCTGTCCGTTCTTGATGTACAGGTCTCTCATGGACGCGAACTGCTCCGTCCCCGCCGTGTCCAGGATCTCCAGCACGGAGGGCGACGAGTCCACCTCGATCTCCTTCCGGTAGAAGTCCTCGATGGTCGGGTCATATTTCTCGATAAAAGTGCCGGTGACAAACTGCACGGTGAGCGCGGATTTCCCGACGCCGCCGCTGCCCAGCACGACAACTTTGTATTCTTTCATTGGGGCGGTCAAGGCGGGCTAACTCAGCAGCTAACGACTGCTATACTCGCTCCACAAACATTTATCAGGCCTTTACGAGAGCTAACGAGAGAAGCCACAAAAGTTAGACGATATACAATAACCCCCCTCATTCACATAAACAGTTCAACCGCTCATACTTGGATTTTTCTACGTTTTCCAGCTAGTGAGACAGTAAAAGTTGATGTCCGGCAACTCCGGCGTTAGCTAGCGCTAAAGCTAGCTCGCGCCTGGCTGAATTCCCGCTGTGCCATCCTCGCGCTTTCAGTCGTTAGATCGATGTGATTCACCACAAGCGCCGGCGTTGGTCAGTGAACTTGTTGTCTACTGACGGCAGGTCACGGTGGTACACATTAGACCCCCACCTCAAACCGCATGACAGTCCCCACAGCAGCCCGCCGGTATCGCCGCAGCGTTGACTGCGTCCTTCCCTTAGCCCGGGCCTGGTTCTGGTTCCGGCCCAGCCCGGCGCCCTAGCAACCGGGCCCGTTATCGACGCAGACTCAGTGTTATAATCCCACCGTCCATTGGCTACAGTTTATTACTGATCCGGTATATATGTGACTGTATACAAGGTGGGTTCTGCTTCAGAAAGAAAGGCTTTTTTTCAACCATCTGATTTCCTGGAGCTAACAACCTGTTTCCGCTAACGAGAATCAGACTTCCGCTGCGACGGTTTTCACAATAAAAGCACAGAAAAGCGTTACAGAAAATTAAGATTTTTCGTTTCTAACACCCATCCAGGTTTCCCGCTTAGCCAATTCTGGGTCGCGGGGACTTGATCATTTTCTGTCCTTGATATTTATTTATTTATTTAAATACAGTACTGTGCAAATGCCTTGAGCCACCCCTTATTCCTTTAAATTATTTTTTTAAATGCGCCCTTAAATTGCTCTCCAGGCTTTTTGAAGAAAATATTTTTTCCTTTTCACTCATTTTCAGTCCAGTCCTTGTACCTGACCATTTTCAGAAGACAATTTTTAAAAACTGTTTTACACTGACGTTTGAGTCATTCAAGCATAAAACAGTAACCTAACTGAAGTGATGAGCTAGTTTTATGTCCACGCATAATAGACAGTTTGTTACCATTTCAGTTTTATTACAGTTTAGTTGAATACACAACAATAATAATAATAATGATAATTGCTAACCTACATATTTAGCGATTTATCATGCAGACCTATCTTATTCACACAAGTTATCTAAATGAGCAGATTGTTGTCACATGAAGTGGTTTCATTTACTTTCCCGCAAAGTTACACACTATCCTCCAGGGGATTAGCTTCAATGATGCATAAGTGTGTATTAGTTCACAATGTGAAAAACACCAAGACTGGACGTTGTGAGCAAAGATTGGTTTAATGCGCAATCACAATGTCGCCGTTATATGAAGAAGAATTTGTTTAAAGAAACAGCCACAAAATGAATCAGCTGCAGGTCCATCTTGACCATTTCTCCGTGTTACTGAGGATGTCACACTCAGAGGTTGCAGTCTTACATCAGCAGCATAGGGAAGCTGGTCATCCTCACTTCCTCTGAGAGCAGTTTCGATTCCTGTTTTTATATTTATATTTGGGCGACGTTCTCTGAATAGCTTTACTATAGTGCTTTTAACTGCAATAGGTTAAGTTAGTGGTCTGCTAATTCAGATTAATTCTGCATACTGAAGACAGTGATTCTCTACAATGCAGTTAATTTCAAAACTGCATCATTCATCACACTTTGCACTCTGTTATCTAAGAAACTTTAATTTCATCTGGTTTTTGCCATACTGTCTTTAGTAAGCCATTTTGCATTTTTTATTGTAATGCATAGTCATATTACCTCATTATATTTGAGTTAATTTATTTTTTAGATAATTAAGATAATTGTTTGATCCTGTTTTATTTAATTTTATTGAGCTATAGACTATTTTATTGATTTAAACTATATGTTGTTGGGCAGTCATTAGGTATGCCTTTAAACTCCTCAATCAACGCAAATATTTAATCAGCCAATAACATGGCAGCAACTCAGTGTATTGACATGTTGAGGTTCAAATTGAGCATCAAAATAGGGAAGAATTGTGATTTAAGGGACTTTGAAAATGGCATGAATGGGCTGGTCTTAGTATTTCAGAAACTGTGGATCTAGTGGGATTTTCCCACACAATCACAGTGTTTACAGAGCATGGTTTTCTGAGGGAAAATGCCTTGTCGATACCTGAGGTCAGAGGAGAATGGTGAGACTATGTCGAGCTGATAAGGGTCAACAGTAATTCGAATAACCACGTTACAACCAAGGAGGAAGAGCATCTGTGAACCCAGATGGGCTGCAGCAGCAGAAGTCCACATCAGGTGCCAGTATTGTCTGCTAAGAACAGGAAACTGAGGCCACGATTTGAGGCTACAACATTTCTGAGGAATGTTTCCAGTTTCCAATACTGGCAAGGTGTACCTAACAAAATGTCCAGTGTGTCTATACCCTATGCTTGAATAAATTTAACCCCATAATATTTTCATCTCGATCCTAATGACCTGATTTCTCTTTTGTGAAAGGTTAAAAGGTCTTTCCCGGGTGCCAAAACACTTTATATACAGATAAGCCCCTGAGATGCATGTGTGTTATTGTAGACTTAGTTATTAACAGTTGTTGCATAAAGGGGTCCTTTAAGGCTATATATGCACATTTAGGAGCACTACCAGATGTTCAGGGTATACGTTGTGGTTTATATACTTCTTTTGCTGTATGTGTATGTCTGCAATGAAAGAGACAAAAAGAAAAAACACACAAGAGGGTCACAATGAAGTGTTTTATTTAAGGTCAAACAGAAATTGCAGAACTCATCATAGGCACAGTAACTTACTCATAATTAGCTATACACTGCAAAATATATTGGCATGTAGCACAGCAGCACATACAAGCACCACAAGCAGAAAACAGAGTGAAACAAAGAAACAGCAGTCACGTTCAAGTCTGCCCAAGAGTGTCAGAGTTTTTTATGGCTTAGTCCTGAACAGTCTTTGGCCCTCATCATCTTCCACGGGGGTGTCGTTCAGTCGGCGATTGTACCCAATTTAAAAAATAAGTTGTGGACTCAACAGAGGATGTAATTAAATTGATATGATTGGCACACGCTCAGTTCACGTGGCGGTTTTAGTCATTGAGATGTAGAACCTAAAAGTCCAGTTTGCACATTAAAGGCACAATCACAACTAAAATGAATCAATACAGTAACAATACAGTGATTTAAAACCCACAGCATGTACTTAAACTGGGACAGCAATGATGAGGGGAGCTGGTGAGTCAGTAGAGACGCTTTGGTGAGTTGTGGGTACACGTCGTTCAGAGACCCGTCCCTGCTCACAAACTCTTTGAAGTCAATATTCAACAGTCAGAGGGCTGTGAACCGATTCTCCAGGATGACTCAGTCACTTCAACACTAGGAGAAGTGCCATGGCAACAAAATCGCTGGCTTTGGGGGCAAATAAAGAGGATCACATGTTCAAATCAGCAGAACCAGAGTCATGTGAGGATGCTGCTGCTGTTGGGAGAGGAAAATATTGGAAAAGCAGTTTGTTTGCAATTTAGTCTAAAATCCTGAGGAGAATTCAGATTTATTGTTGTTTTGGTTAATGACAAGAAACAGGAGAGTTTAAAAAAAATTACAAAATGACAGAGATGAAGGAGAATTTAAATCTCTGTTCTTCTGTGGTCAGATTTAATATCGGCTCCTATTTTGTTTTTCAGCCTGCAGATGGAGCTACTCTGTGCTTTATTTCGGTGCTTTACTGGAGAGAGGAATGTGTCTGCATGTCATCTGCTCAGATTAGGTTCTTACATATGATCCACCTCTCCTGTTTGATGTCAGGGTCGCATATTATTAAACCACAGAGGATCAATCAACTGAACTGAACTGAAACAAAATAGCTTTATAAAGCAAATCATTTGTAGTTTACAGCTAGGCAGTGCCATGCTTAGCAAAGAACAGGGCTCTAGCAACAAACAAAAGGGCAGATGTAAGAAAACAATAGACATATCGTTAACAATATATTGATTAGATTTTTTTTAATTGACTCTTTTATCTGTATTTATTCAAAATAAATTTTGAGTATTCTGACATAGTTATGTACATAAGTGCAAACAAGGTGAACATCACACATTCGTATACACCTCAGTGAGGATCGACATCACCCAGCACAGCTGGGCAGTAAGAGACCTCGAGACCACCTTCTTGGCCAAAACCTGAGCCAGATCTCTCGGTCTGTAGGAGGCAAACGGCAAAAACCGCTCGCCTCCACAGAAAAAAGATCTTCCAGTTAGTCCAAGGTCCTCTTTACCTCCCTGACAGATGTTTGCTCTAAAAGCCAGAGTTCATTCCTATTTCTCAAAAACACCATGTACAAGAAGAAAAAACCTAAATATAAAATGAACGTCAAATAAACAAAACAAAATAAACGGCTGACCTCCCCTAAGGACCTTTGGATATTACAAGGATTAAAGTTTTTTCAATCACTTTGCAACAAGACAAACTAATAATTAGACATTCCCTTTTCGGATAAGTTAGTGCTGTATGTCATCATAATTATTGTGGAAAAAAAAAAAAATCACTATTAGGATAATAAAAAGGTAGCCATGTTGTCATTTTGTTGCCATAGCAACAGCAACTATTACCATTAACAATGACTCCATCATTGTGTACAAACGATTTTCATATCATAATGTTTTTCATATTGGTCTACACAAACTATTAACTACATATAAATGATTTTTTTGTTGTCATTATTGTTATTATTATTTTCATGCCGCGTTTTTTTTTTATGTCAGAAAAAAAAAATCTTACATTTAATACATTTTCATACACAGCTGTGACATATGATCGAGGATTAAGGCCCTTTGTTTGTATTCTCAGGACTGAGTTAACTGTGTCCACATGCTGAAGGATCTGATCACAGGACAGCGAAGATCAGAGCTCTGCACATGTTGAACAGTTATGATTCAGGACCGTGTGGGAAAAAAAATTACAACCAGGCCCAAAGGTAATCAAGTACAAGAGAATGAAAGAGGGAACAAAATTAAGAGGTAAAAACATTGTTTTTTTTTTTTTACTCATGGTGCTCCACAATCCTCAAATTAATACACTCTTGAGCCTTAATAGATACATTTAAATGTATTTAAAAACCTCAAATGCCCTCGAGAGGCACAGTTTATTAATCAAGTATTCTGTTTTTCCAGCTGGACAGTGAAGGCATACTGATGTTAGGGGTAGGGTCACTTAAGGAGGAGATTGGCTGGACGAAGCTAGTCTTTAGAAAAAGGGACCTGTCTGGACATTCTGATCATCAGGTTCATAGAGACAGCTATGAGCCTACATACTGTTTGATCCACCATGCAGATAAAAAGTCAGCTATACTTTAAAAAATACTTTATTCAACTATTTTGGGAGATACACTTATTCACAAGATTTTATATCACTCTTATGTCTGTATAGTAAATATGACGCTTAAATCAGCTGTATGGGGCACTAGCCTGTTTCCATACAAAGTGGAGCTACACAGATAAATTAACAGGTATTAGGTTATTACAAATAAGGTGTCCTCTAAAAGTATGTAAACTGCAGATTGAAATAGATATTTTAAACCTCAGTTTTAGCATTTTAGGATGAAAGCATTGCATGAGATAAAATACAGACTGGCTTTAGCTTTTATTATGTGCTATTTAATACACAAACAGCACAGAAATAGATAGTTATGCATCTTGATATTTGTAGACCAGTTCAGTAGCGTTTACTTTAGGCTACCTTTTCGCTGTTCAGTCAACATGCTTTCATATGGCTTCTGATGTAGGGATTTGTTCTCTGCTCGGTCTGTTTGACCTCAGCACAGCCTCTGATACTGTCGACCATGATACTTTCCTTAGTAGACCTATGGTTTCCATTTGACTAAATTTCTTCTTATTTATCTGCAAGGCTCAGATAAATGCGAGGCTCAATCCTGAGCCAGTTATTATTTTCTTTCTGCTTTTTTTCCTGTAGCTGGCATCATTCAGGGTTTTTCAGAAGTTTCTTATCGTTTCTATGCAGATGACATTTACTTATACGTCTATCATTTTCTATTATATTTTATTGTGATTTTTCCCAGTTTTTATTCATTTTACACTATTTTTTGCCAAGCACTTTATAACTTCATTTCTGTGACAAGTGCTTTTATAAATAAACTTTACTTACTTACTTATATACTATATAAGAGCTAAAGCCACCTACTGTTTTGTCTCATTTTTGTGCTTTAATATCAACTTCAGATGCATAAATTATCCAATAATATCTGTTAACGTACTTATAGAGGGCACTCTATTCTTGTTTAAGTTGGCTTAAGTTATTACAAACATTACACAGTTTGTCCAAAAGCTAACTTTTAGTTATCTAAAAGGTGTAAACACCTTCCATGCAAGACTGCACATTTAATCTTTAAAATGGATATAAAGAGGGCACTCTGTAGTTTTATAGATGTTTTCCTCCTGTAATTATTTCTTCATGAACAGTTTACAATCCATCTGGGTTATATTGCTGGTTGCCTGGCAACCTCACTGTTCACAAGTGTTTTTGCACAACTGTTTATTAAGGTGTGCTGGCCTTTTCTCTGTGTTAACTAGCAGCTCTTTCCAGCTTAGTATTAGCACAGAAACATAAGAGCAGCTTAGATCTTCTGTCTTTAAAAAAACGTAAGCAGATATGTGTACTTTTTCTTAAACTGCCACAAATACGCCACCCATCTTATTTGGGGCATTTAGGTGGTCAGGAGGGAAAAGCTTTTACACGCCCAAAATGAGGGTTAATCCCAGGATTATACCTGGTGCTGCACTTGCAGCTCTGGCTGGGTGGGTTTTCTGCACAGTTATGTCTCCACAAAGCCTTTCCACACCAAAAGTTAACAGAATCAGGGCTGCAGTACTGGGACCACAAGGGAAATACATGTGAGAAAAAAGGTAGCATGCTGACTTTCTGCCTAATGATAATATGCTTTGTTTATAGTGCTTTGGATACTACAGGGGGGTAGGGGTAGAAAAACTGACTAGCAATAAATGGTACTGAAATGTACCTGAATTGTGTACATTTGTACTTCAAAGAGTACAGCAGTCTGCTCTACCTTTTCTGACAGTGAAAGATATTTCTAAAAGTAGTCACACCACCCATTAACATTAAATATAAATCTATATAACAATACACATACTTTAATATGTCTTAACACAGTTTCATCATGGTACCTACAGTATGTGACCTCTGAAATAGTCTATATAGAGTGAACCATTACATTTCAGCATGCCTGTCTTTTAGAAGGGCATGTGTAAAGTTTTTGCATTAGATACATTCACGACACATTAACATTATTTAAAATGAATAATGTTCAATGGGAGATGTTGTAATATCTGCAGCATTTACAACTAACCAAATATGTGATCCATCGTCTTTTCTGACACACGTATGTATGCGCACAACTCTCTGATTTATTTCCTTACATTGATAGTAAGACAGCACAGCTGTCTCAGAGAAGAAACTAATACAAATGTGATTTCCTATTATAATAATGTACCAAATAACACAGCTGTCTTTGAGCACTGGTCTGGTCTTACAGTGTACTGACAGTTTTGTTTGAGGAGACTTGAAAGAGGCACATTTGAATTTGGATATAAGTGATTTCAGCCCAGTTTCCAAAGCTGTTAAGTTCATTTTTTTTGTACACACCTACAAAGCAATTCCTTACACACTTGAAAGTCCCCCCCAAATTTTTTTTTCACCATCAGACATCAAGCATGAGAATTGTTCATCCTTTTCTGCAACTTGATTCTGGTTATAAGAATATTTAGAGTCTCGTCATTTTTGACAAACAGGACAGCAGTAGAAAGACATGACATTTTAAAGTCAGACAGGACATTTTCAAGTTCGAAGCTTTCTCCCTGCAGAACCATAAAACATAAAAATCTTGTGCCACTTATTTAGTCCAAAAGCCACGTTAAACAAACAGCCTTTTGAAATACATCTCTGTATTAGAGAGGGAAACATTTATTTGGAGGATTTATCCAGATATTGCATTAAACGGGCAGTTCCTTGCATATACCGCAGACTTTAGGCACAACAAAAGGAAACCGATCTCGCTTCCATCTTGTGCAATAACTGACATCAGGTGTAAAAGTTTAAGTGGCATTTACAGGCGAGCTGAACACACACAGAATCGGCGAGCAAAGCCTGGTGTTCGGGTTTCAAATCACAGAGGAAACAGGATGAACCTTTCCTTTTTTAGTCGTTACACAGTTACCCATCACAAAAGAAAAGAAACACAATCACTGATCAGAAATCACGATTCAAGAAACTTCACTGCTCAGGTTTATCAGTTTTGACGATTGGAGCTGTCTGGTCTATTACTGGAGAGCACTATACAGAGAGGGGCCCTTACATAGAGAACATGACCTCAGCTGCTTTAAGGCAGTTTATTTAACACATCCTAAAGATATCCCTCATCCCATCTTCTTTATAAGAAGTAATTACATACTAAGTTACTTTCACCCAGTCTACATTTTTCAATAAAACAGGGGGGCGAATCATTCATTGCATTTAGGAAACTCTAATATACATTTTAAGAGGCGTTTGCTGTAACCAGTAGACTTTATCCCAATAGCAGCTACAGGCTAATACACTCTATTTACGTAACTAATTCTTCTTTGAATCATTTTTGGGACACTAAGTCTCCTCCGCAGCTGAGCAGAAAAAAATCAAAGGCACAAACAAATGAACAACAACCCCTTACTGACATATCACCAGGCAAAATGAGACCATGATGACAGACTGAGCGGTACACGTCGTACAACACAAACGTCACATTTGCACTCATCTTGAAACGTAAACGTGACATGATATGAAACACTCTTTCACTTTGACAGCCCGTCATGGTTGGAGACCGGCAGCTGGTCCGTCTGAATTTTCTACAATGAACTTCTCAGAGTTTCTTACTTTGGAACAGTCAAATGTGTTGGGTGGCCTCATGTGATGGCTCCGACCCATAAAGGGCATTTAGTCTTGAATATATATGTGTGTGTGTGTTTATGTGTGCGCACATGTGCTGCACTTTTAAGGTGTGGGCATGTATGGCTGTAAGGACGAGGGAGCTCTATTGCTCGCCCCGATCGAGTCAGTATGCATCAGGGTGGCTGCTTTAAAGCAACGGTAATACGTCCAGGTCTGTATTGCATGAACCATCGCAGCTCTCTTACGTTCACAACATGATATCAGTCGGTGTGCACTGTGGGCGAGGCACATGTTTGCTGCAGTGCTCGGGGTTTACGGGACTTTAACTGGGGTTTCGGGAAAGGCTTACTGAGTTTAGTGCCACAGGAGCTGCCACCAGCAGTTTGGGGACGGGGCAGAAATGGGTTTCCATGGGAATGCACTGGAGCTCCACCGGATCTGAAGTCAGAAGCTCCGAGGGGTCTACTGGAAGAGAGAGAGGGGGGGAAGAGGAGGAGGAGGAGCTGTGAGTTCTTACAGACACAAACATATGCAGGCAAACCTCTGTAGCAGATTATTTTATACTGATATCTGTGCTTAATTATGATGATCTTTTAAAATTATGGGCAAAGCAAATAGTCAAGTTAGCACTGAGGTTGTTTTTCATAGATGTTAATGCTGAATGTGTGTTATCACCTCACTTTACACCTTTGCTTGTTTGAATCTTCACGTCAAAAAGAGAGAAGGTTGGGTGTAACATCTCAGGAACGAAAGTTTACAAAATCTGTGATACCTAGTCGACTAGTTATGCACTCATCCATAGTAGCAGCAGGTTAGTTCAAAATCATGGCCTGGTATGATGCTGGTAAACCGAAGGAATGCAAATTTAGTTCATTTCAGGTAAATTCCATTAAAGCTATATAGTAGAGTCAAGCCACATCAAAATCCCCATCATGTTTTGTAAAAATCAAAGCAAGCAGACTTCTGTTTCAGCTGTAAGTAAGCAACAAAAAGCAGCAAACACCACCAGTCAAAGGATTTTAGAGCGCTCTCATTTTTATACATATTAAGGGCAATTACACGGTGTAATATCTCAGTGCATAATGGTAATGGTTAATCCTTCAGTTTGTGCAAGCTCTTAAATCAAAGTGATGTTTTTATTGCTAAAATATCAAATTTACTGCTTTACAAAAAAGCAGAAAGAATTAGTAAAGCACATTATTATTTTTTGATCGAGATGGTACATTACAGCTATTTACTAGTTTTGGTGGTTGAATGCTATCTAACGCTTGATTAAGTGTGCTGGCTCAAATTCGGGAATAAAAACGTGAATTCAGTTTGTTGTTTGCCAAATAAATAAAAACATAATTTTTAGTTTTAAGCAAGTTTTTGACACATTTCTAAAATATTTGTGCTTTTTTTGGTGTTTTGTCAGGTGGTCTAACAAATTTGTGAAGCACTGTGGCCACTTTCAGCTGTTTCCTTATTCACGAGAGATCACCACAGCAGGTAGCTTTAATTTGGCAGATTTTCTACTCTGGATCCCCTTCCTGATGCAACCGCAAAGGGATATGGATCTCCTCCTGGGATCAAACCGGGACTCCTCCACTTGTTAGGTGGGCTCTGGGTTTTAATTTCAGTGATCACTGGGACATAAAAGAAAACACACATAAAGAATGAAGAGGCAAATTTGATAAAAAACTGCTTAAAATTTTGTGCCAAAATTAAGGTTTAACAAGCATTTTTCATCTTTTTGTGTTGTGGATTTTTTTTTGTCACACATCTCTTGTAACGTCTGTGTTGTACCGGTCTTTCCACAGTGGCGCACACATCAATGCACTTGCGGGTTGACCTGTCTGGTTAATCGAAGTTTAACTCTCTGTCCAGTTTGTTTCTTCAGAAATTTCAGGTCTCTGTGCTGCTGTGGGATAAACTGCAGACCCAGATTGCTTCAACCCTGTATTATATTTGATACACAAGTTTTTGTGAGTTTTTGCAATGTCTGCATCGCCAGTGTTATTTTATTCCCCCTCAAAAACAAAATGTTTTAAGCAATAAAACATACCACATATAGCAAATTGATATTTATTTTCTTTTTTAATTTGTCAGAAGGTTCAATAAACGCTCCAGTTTCAAAAAGAATAAAACATTTCTGGCCATTATTTCCCAGTTCAGGCTTTTCAGGGCCAACGGTGCATCAGAGGCTGTAGATTGTTCCTGTACAGACCAAGGGTTTCTAGTATTTGAGAAAAGTTGGGACACTTACGGGTGAATTTATTAACTTCCAGAGCTGCAGGAAAGCTGTAGTTCAACCAGTTTTCTTAAACTTAGACTTATTTTTTAATAAATTTACACATTTTTCTTTTCCTCTTACTTTGCTGGTGACCTGCTGACCTTCGTACCATTCAAGCTTATTACAAATTTAAATAATGAGGGTGCCCTAAATCATTTGACTGGTAGGTTGTATCCAAGCAAATTAAGTAACTGTTTGGCTGCAAACATTTATTTTTATATGATATATATATTTTTTAACAGAGATGAGAGCTGGCATGCTTTAATGCCAGGCCACATACTGCACACAGTAACGACTGAGACAGACATGATGTGATTCAACACCAAACAAAGACACTCAGATGAAAACAGTTGTCTATTTCAAGATTCCTCTCAAAACGAGTTGTTTTCATTTGCTCGCATCATAAGAAACAGAAACGTGAGGAGAGATGAAATGTGAAGATAACACGTGACACTACGGGCAGACAGTGAACAGGACTGAGATCCTACAGAGCTAAAATCAAAAGAGGACTGAAATGAAAGAGCAAACCTGATTCGAGGCGGCAGATTCAGCGAAAGGAACATTGGTGACTGGGGTCGAGGCCGACGAAACAGTGGAGGTGGTGGCACCGTGCATCATGGGAACTTTTATTCGGGCGAGTCAGACGAAAGACAGAGGACGAGGATATGGGCGGGGAGGAGGGAAGGGGGGGGAGGGGAAGGGAGGGGGAAGAGGAATGATATGGTTACCATGGCAAAATGTGTAGGATCAAAAGTCATGGCACAAGTCAAGTGATATTGCCAGGATGAATTTGAACAAGTACCAGGACACATGCAAACAAAATCAGAGATAAAAGGGGAAAAAAATACATATTTAAATAGCTGACAGGATACAAAATAAAAAAAAAAATTAATTGCTCACCAACAAAATGGCAGTTAAACAAACAAAGCAATACACAGTCATACAATCTAATCAGACTGGAGTATCTGATAATTGTATTGAATGGACGGAGCATGTGTATGGAAAGAGCAAATGATCCATAAGAAATACTTTTATTCCTTTCGATTACAATGTAAGAGAAATCCTGAGAATTTAGTGATTTAATGGCAATCGTATTTTATCGTTGCTCTGAAGTCCTGAGCTGAAGGTGCTAAAGACTGAAAGTACTGGTCCATTTTTATCCTCATTTGAGTCGCTTTTTATTATTATTATTATTATCATTATTATTATTATTACTAACTAAACAAAAGGAACTGGAACAAATCAAAGTTTAGTTGACTACTTGTGAAGACCAACAAGTCTGAAAACAGCACACATGCTGTCTAAGATGTATAATATTATTAAGATTCTCAATTGGTGTGTGTCAGACCAACCAAACTCACATATATGAACATAAGACTGAAATATGTACACAAAACATGCACTGTGCTATTGTCCATCATCATACACAGCACAGCTGAGGCTCTGCAGCAACATTAGAAAGCATCTCTCACACCCAGAGGCGATAAGGTCATCGTCTCACTGCTCCACAGAAACATATAGTTGATTCATACCTTGAGCTGGAGCTTTTCAGCATAAACAAGAACTGAATTTGTCACATTTAGGCTATGTCCACACGTACACGGGTATTTTTGAAAACGGAGATTTTCCGTTTTCGTTTTAAAAAATAATCCCGTCCACACGTAAAGGCAGAAATGAAGGAAAACGCTGCTAGGAACATGCCAAAGCAGCAGGTGGCGCTATATTCCTAACCGTGTAGAAATGTTGGCCAATCAGAAGTCTAGAAGCCTCCGCGGGAAATAGTAAACAAAGCTGGGGCATAGAAGCAGAAGAGTCATATGTGTGGAGGGACAGTAACTATGTGTGTATATGTAAGCATTTAAACACTGCAGAGAGTACAATTAACAGTAACAGTATTGTAGAAATTCATTTCACCGAAAAAATAACGTGATGTGACGTCAAAAAAGGCGCACACCTTTGACGCTGCGTTTTCGGCGTTTTCTCCATTTTTAGAAAATATCCACCCTGGCCGGAGTTTTAGAGAAATCTTCGTTTTCAGTGACCGAAAACGCCATTTACGTGTGGACGAAAGGTGCAAACACATAGAAAAATCTGCGTTTTCAAAAATACCCGGGTACGTGTGGACATAGCCTTAATCTAATATGTTGCTTTTAATTGCACTTTTATCAATGTAACTTTAAAAGGGTTTTTTTATATTGACTTTGTATTGTTTCCGGCATGATCAGTTACTTGACCTGTCACCCTGGACAGGATGTGCACTTCTGTAATCTATGGCAGGATGCAGGACAGTGACAACATCCACTTGTGGATTCATTATACAATAGATCGGCACTGTGACGCTCAAACTGGTGTTTTCACCCCAGCTTCTTAATTATAGCTCGACTGAGGACTGTGAGGATGTATACACTGTGATTAATGTCGTCATACATGAAGAGTAGGGACACCAAACACTGTTATTGCTTTTATGTTCTATTTGTACATTTAGCAAGTAGGAAGGATATAATGAAATTATGTTTTTTTGGTTGGATTATGAGAAATGTAGTAGTCAGAAGTTTTCATACACTCATCATTGTGGTCATTTTGGGCTGGTAGCTTCTCTTTGCTCACTCACTGGAGTGCCCAACACAGAGCTACCCCTTCAGGCTTGACTGAAATTTGTAGCTGCTTGTTGATGACTGCTAAAAGCATTTGGTTGAGGTGGAATCTGTTAAGGAATATTTAACCAAAATATTGTTATGTATATATAACTGAGAGTGTCTGTTTACCTGTGTGGATTAGAGCAAATCCCCAATAAATTCAAACTTGTGCAACAAATTCTTGTTTTTTAAAGCCATTAAAGATCTATGCTGTGCAGGTTGAAATATGACCCTTTTTAATTCATTCCATTTCCCCACGCTTCCCTGAGCTTGGCACTACAACATTTTTAGGACATTTAAGCATTGTTGAAAAGGGCATCAAATCAATCTGATATCCAAACCAAAATCTCGATATCTTTACTGCATGTAAAGAAAAAAACCCCAGCTCATTCTGAGGGGATCGTGTGGAAGGCTCTGATTAATTTTTCATGCAACCATACCCATGTATTGACCCATATATTGCACTAAAGTGAGACTACCTCTTCTGCTTTTATAGTTCCCCACCGTTATAGAAATGCAGTCTGCTTTAGGCTGGAGACTAAAGTGGACAAAATTCAGCAAAAAAATCTCCAAAAACAAAACCAGAGAGGGACACGGACCATCCTGAAAAAGTATTTTACTGCAATTTATAACAGCAAAGACACATGAAAATATTTTGCTTCTTTTTTTCTTTTATGTCAAAATTATTCTCCAAATGTATTAACTTTATGTCCTAATATCAGTATGTAGCACTGGGAAATGTAATAAAGGTGGAGCTGAAGTTAGGAAACACACACGCAGACGTATGCATGTCTAAACATCTTCTGCAAACTTTTTGTGATTCTAATCTACCAGATTTTCAGTTCAGATGGACTGACCGAGTGAATCGTGTGTCTGTGCTTCTCATCACTGTTGGTATCCCTAAACTATCTGAATAGAAACCCTGCATCAGTCTGCTGCTGTTCCACTGTTATGTGATCCTGAACAGCACTGACCTCAGACATAGTCTAATCCTCCATGGTTAAACTACAATATTCTGATATTTCTGACATCAGTTTAGTGAACATTTGTTTCGTGCATTTAAAAGAAAATCTGTAAAACCTTCCTCTAAACCAGCTGGCACTTCACTTCAGACCTGAAGTGAGCTTCTGGACGCTCTAAGGAGGGTGGTGCAGGTGGGGTCCTTGTGTGGTGAGCAAAAAAAGGAGGTCCCTTTATCTGTGAGTACAGACACTGACAGGAAGCTGATGAGGTTTTTTTCCACTCCCTGCTTTCCCAGCAGTCTGAGCTACCAGAGCTGGCACAGTTCATGTAAATGCTTAAATGATTAAACACTTGCACTTAAGACTTGTTTGTTAAACTGGATGGAGAAAATCAGTGGTCGACTTCAGCAACGGAGAATAGTCGGTTCTCATTGTCAGGCCATCCAGTAGTTTGGTTTTGATTAAATAACGCATAGTCCATGTACTATGCTGCAAATAGAAAGTCATCGTCCATGTAACGCTTCCAGGTTTAGGTCTGTCTGCTTTTGAAATTTCATTCCCCTAAAGGAAAACCGTTTCACATAAAACACAAGAAGCATGAACTTGAATCCCTGCTAATCAATTCTACTGCACATGTATGAACTACCCAATTTATAGTTAACTGGGCGAAATGGTCACCTGTATGGTCGTGCAGGCCTCTGATTAACACACCAATCCTACGGCTGGTCACATTTTGTACAAACACGTACATAAAACAAGAAACAGATGACAGCGAAAGTTAAGACGAGAGAGCAGACAAAGGTGTGCCCACAGGTTCAGGTTAGAGCAGGTAGCACAAGCAAGCAGCATGGAGTTAGTGCACAATGTGTACCGGCGCACAAAAACACACTGATGCAAGCTGCTGGTAAAGTGAAAGTGCAAACACCTCAAATCTCTAAATGCTGTAGTGAAGAAAATGGCATTCAAGTATCGAGGAATAAAAACTGCATGCCAAGTGTGTATGTGCACATGTACTATCCTATTGGTCAAACGTCTAGGTTTTGCTATGCTTCTCTGTTTAGTTGGTGATGGTAGCTTTGTCGTCTCAGTTTAATTGTAATTAAAAACCTTTATTTTAGTGCCAAATTTGCTTCCTTGGTGCAGACACTTTTATTGTCAGGAATACAGGGGGGTCATCAGTGACTTTGTTGGCTGGTGTGAGACCAACGTACTTCAAATCAACGCCGGCAAGACAAAGGAGATGATCATAGACTTCAGGAGGAAGTCACCCCCTACAACACCGGTGAACATCCAAGGGAAAGACATTGAGATAGTGGACTCTTATAAGTACCTGGGTGTTCACCTCAACAATAAACTGGACTGGACTACAAATACAGACGTCCTGTATAAGAAGGGCCAGAGTCGACTCCACCTGCTGAGGAGACTGAGGTCCTTCGAGTCTGCAGGACTCTGTTAAGGACATTCTATGACACTGTGGTAGCATCTGCCCTTTTCTATGCAGTGGCCTGCTGGGGGAGTGGATGCACGGACAGGGACAGGAGCAGGATTGACAAACTGGTGCGGAGGTCTAGCTCCGTGCTGGGATGTCCCCTGGAGTCTGTGGAGGTGGTTGGTGAGAGGAGGATGTTAGTAAAGCTGACATCCATCATGAACAACCCACATCACCCACTGCATGAGTATGTGAGTGGGCTGAGCAGCTCCTTTAGCCAGAGACTGAAACACCCTCACTGCAGGAAGGAGCGCTTTCGCAGATCATTCATCCCAACAGCAGTTAAACTCTATAACTCCTCAATCACGATGTCATAAGTCACTGGACGCTGTGAACATCCACGGTCACCACCTCATGCATAATGGACCTTCCATGACCTTCCAAGCTATATAGTTTATGTCTTCCATATTTCCAACTATATCCATAATCACATACTGTGTATGCTACCATTGTATAAAGTGTATTATCTTTCTTTTTTTTCATTGATTGTACTTATTTGCATTTTTATATTTCCTTCTGATATCTGTACCTAAGCTGAGGTGACGCAAAAATTTCCCCGTTGTGGGATCAATAAAGTCTTATCTCATCTTATCTTGTTACTTCCCCGGATTCCCCCCAGACTTCCTGGAGAACGTAACAATCAGCAGTCAGGCTGAAGGTGATTGTCAACTCCACCAGTAAACCCGAGGTGTCCTCAATCCATCTTGGAGCCGGTTCACATGAAAGAGGTGGTGTTGGCAGCATCTGACCAATCACAAACATGGCAGCAGAACAGCTGATTTTACAAAGGAAGACAAAGCTACAAAAGACTGGAAAAAAATGCTACAATAGAAAATGTTTAGGTTAACTGACTTGTCATTATCAAAGCTCAATCATTAAGGCTCAATAGGATCTGACATATTCAGAAATCTGCACAAGACACTTGTAACCTTATGCTGCAGCCCCGGCTGTGTAAAACCGTCTGAGAGCAAGGACAGAACAATTAAAAAACTGAATTGAAACCAGTAGGTGTGCAGATTTTATGAACAGTCAGCAATAACGAGGATTAAGTGTTCAGTTTTAGGATCAGACATGAGTTTAAGCCTTGCAGAACAAATGAAAAAAAATAAAATGGCTTTAAAACTGCTTGCTAGATAAAAATGAGCATTAACGTTGCTCTTAAGGATCTATATTTCTCTAAAGCACGGCCTTCTCCTACCTGGATATTAAGGTCCACCTGTTTTTCCAGGACTGATGATGGCATTTTCCTGAGAATTGGTTAGTGACTCAGCGGTTGTCTCCTACGTGCAGGTTAGGTTTGCAGCTTTAGCTGCCATAGTGACTAATGAACCTCCTTTGTGACTCAAAACTCTGAGTTAAACCTGAACCTTGCTAAAACCCTAATCCTGCTTCGTGGTTTAGGCCTTTAATGTGTTTGTCTCTTTAAGCTGTGTCCTCTGACTCTATGGCCTCATCACAAGCCAAGCAAGAGTGAATCCGAATCAAGCAACACAACAGACAGTGGAACAGAAGAGAAGCGTCACACAGCACACAAGCCCTGAACAGACACAGCAACTCCTTCGTCCTACAGTTCTCCACCTTTGTGTTTGTGTGCACAGGCAACTTCTTGGACTCAAGGTTTGAGGGTGTATGAATCCAAGGGACCTCCTACTGGTGTTGCTAAGGTTTCCAGAGACTCACCCGTGGGGATAAAGGCTGGTTGCTGGAGCTGCATGTTAGCCAGGGCTTGCTGGTAGTGGAACATGCTGGGATTGAAGACGGTGGCAGCAGCTCCGTTGCTCTTCTCTAAGACAGGCCTCTTTGGTAGCGGCTGCACGGCCCCCGGGGGCAGACCCTGGCCATGAAGAGAAGGATATGAAGGAAAGCAGTGGTTATCTTTCAACACAGGTAGTGATGGGTGTACAGAAAACACTCTCCCTGGAACAAAAAAAACAAAAGCAGATTAATCTGGTGTCATCTCAGGGTGAATATAAACTTTACCATTCAGATTACATGGATGCCACCACAAGAGGGCACTGCAGTATCTAAGATTAACTGAAGTGATGTAAGGACAGCCCAGAGGTCAGGCCAAGAGCAAAATGGGGCTTCTATCATTTCATCTTCTAATGGGGCCAGTGCTGAACCATCAAAATGCTACGGAAGATAACCAGGATATATGGGTATAAAACCTTAACACACAGGCCATTAATGTGGGATGTGGCTGAAGCAGGAGTATGTTTGAATGACCCCACCTGATCTACAGAAGTAACACAGCAGCAATCCCCGTTCTTTACTGAAGTTAAAACAATGTTACAAGCTAAAACCAAAACCAAATGACCTAGAAATGATCTTTCTAAGTTCTTTCACTTTTATGATTTGTATCTTCTTTCAGTAACTATAGATTACTCACATCGATGGCGTTAGTCATTACAGGCAGTGAACGATACGATTGAAGCAGTTAATGTGCTAAAAAACAAACCGTTTAGACCAGATCATCCTATCTGAAGCAGGATATTATGATCTTACATTGTATCATTGAACAATATAGGAGCACCGGAAAGGAAAATCTGCTGCTGGTAATACAGCCTGGACTTGACGTGACATGAATTGTCCTGTTTTTTACTGCAACTTGGACACTAATTTCAGTGATAAGTGTTTTGTGTGTGGAGCACATATGCTGTCAAGAATCTTTGGCAGGGAAGCTTTAGAAGAAGCAGCAACTGTTGTACTCAAATAATCTTCAAGAACCTGATAAACTGAAAATCGTAGCTTCAGGAACACAAATCAAGAGAATAACATAGAATAACAAACTATTTTGTGAAATGCTGTTAAACAGCAGATACAGTTGGGTCCATAATTTGTAGTTTTGTATAAACAACCACAGTGGATTTTAAATCAAACCATCGAGATGTGATTGAAGATCAGATACCATCCATCCATTTCATACTGCTTATCCGGGTTACCGGGGAAGGAGTCTAAACAGACAAACCTGGACTTCCATTACCCTAGGCAACACTTCCAGCTAGTGATGTGACGTTCTGTATCGAGGCTTCGAAGCGTGTGTC